TTACTATATATATATATATATATATATATATATATATATATATATATAAGGATTAGGGAGGAGCTTTATAAGCTCCATCAGGGCTATCATGGAGGTATGGCTACCCTTTGGCACTATCCATTGTGTAGGTACTGAGACGTTTTTCTTTTACGCTGTCCATTGGTAGTTTATATCCTTTTCATTGCTTTAATTTTACTTACAAGATTTCGTCACCCCATTTGTTGGATATTGTGGAAATTTTGTTTGGATGTAGTTTTAATTTCCATAATCCGACAGAAAATTTACATTATGATTTTCGGAGTTTTTCCGATAAATACTTTGATCGCTTCAACTTATAAAATTCGCTCGGTTTCTCCGACACCTAGATCATTATATAGCGAGAACTTTTACGCTCTGCAACTTCAAAATTTGAAACAATTTTCTCTCATCTTCTACTTTCAACCGCTTCTAGCGCTGAGGGGAATATTCCTGACGACGCGTGAGCTCCATCTCTGATATATTGAACCATATATATACACAACAAGGGACTCATGCATCCGGATCAAACCACCCTAGAACTTCGTCTAGAACTTCAAATGAGGCCTGGCCGCGGTTGCGGACCCTTTAATTTCTTTCGAATGTTCATTCCCGAAATGGTTCACCCCCAAGATCTTTAACTGTTCTCAATGCGCTGAATACCCCGCTTAATTCACAATACTGTCCTAGCTATACGCCAAATTGCTGGTCCCAGTAGCAAGTTCTCGCCTTGGAGACAAAATACACAAGTGTAACCAGTGACCCGTTCGGCTTTGGTAATTGAGTGAACCTCCAAAATAAGAACTGAATCTTCACAGACGACACATTTATTAAAAAATAATTCACGAAAAACGAGACGAAAACAGCGCAGCTAGAACACGTAGTTTCTTCCCGAAGTTCACTTAGCTAGAACACGTAGTTTCTTCCCGAAGTTCACTTATGACCTGCCGAGTAAACAATCTGTCCAAAAATTACGATGCGGAGAAAGAAAAACAACAGTGAATGTTGAAGACTTTACTAACAATAAAACACTCTGGAATACAGATTGTTCAGGAATAATGTAGCCTGCTCACTACATCATCCAAGCGAGACAGGAGCTGGAAGAATAATGTTATACATTACAGCACTGCCAGTAAGAATAAAACGATGCTTGCTCTGAGGAGGCGGACAAATTACAAGCACTTGAGCACACTAAATTTGATTTCTTTTATATTTTGCACAACAGGAACTTTATCACAGTACAGGAAATCACGAGTCCTCTGAAAAATAAGGAAATTTCCGTTGGTGAACCAACATACTACCATACAAATAGTAATATTTAAACAGTGGCAAGAAAAACTAGTGGATGGCCACAATTTTAGTAACGAGACAGATAACACAGAGCTCCAAACTTTTTAGGATAAAAAGATGTACATTATGCACTACACTCCCAATCGAAAAAGAGCAATTTAGAGCCTCATTTGTTTCAAAGAGCACTTTGAAATTTAGTAGGTGCTGCACATGACACTTTCAAAATCTTGATGAAGCACAAAAAATTCATAGAATTTGATACGGAAAACAATCAAGTAATCAGAGGAAAGAATAGAAAAAGAAATTTCTCCACAGGGATACAAATCATAAGCGACAGCTAGAATACAACTAGATTCACTTTATTTCATCGCTTGGAAACGTACGAAAAACCGGGTGGAGGCATCATCCACTGTTGTGATGAATGAGGGTAGGAATTTATAGTTGGTACTGGTGGCGGGGCGGGTGATGCCATTGGATTCAGGAGTTGCGCCGACATCGGCATCGTTTGATCATAATTTAAGGTTGACGAAAATTGATTGGTGGTGCGTTGCATTTCCATAGGTGATGTCCGACTAGGGGGATAACCTGTAACAACTATATCTAGGCTTTAAACCTAAAACACCACTTTCCCGCTAAAGCAAATCCATTCACATGCAGTATTGATAAACATCCAAAATGTTTTATACATGAAACTGACCCTAAAAAGTGTACGTGCTCTTGCAAATGCAGAAGTTACAAACCTGCAGTACTAAGATCCGATACAAAACGAACATTTACATTCGGTAACAGCGCCCGGAAACCTTCCTGCCATTCGTGAAGCTTGGTACCATCAATTTGGTTTGCTGCAGCCAGAGAAACGTTTGAGTGAAACTGTGTGTTACTGCTGAAGGAAGGGCATCGTTGTGGCTGTGCTGGATTGAAGACCAAATTACTGGGTGGATTCACGAAATTACCGACTCGAGCCATCTGAGTTTG